TCTGCCATCAGAGCTCTTCTGGCCATTTTTATCGGGTGGAGAAGACTGTATTTGAGAGCCAGGACAGAGCATAACTTTGGAATTGAGAGCACCAGGTCAGACTTGTAGCAACCCCCAATTTTCCCCCTGCCAGGAGATGAATACAGCTGAGCCAAGGACATGCATCTCTAAAAATGCAGAACTTGGAATTAGGAGCACCCCTCCTGAGGCCAGATTGCTTCCTCATGACCTCAAACGTGTAAAATATGAACAAAGATTTGCCTGTGTTCGAAGTAGCCGAAATTCAGGTGAAATCTGGGGCTTAATCCGTACTATTTTAGAAAGGAGGCCACTTTAGGACACAGATCAAACACTGATACTCCATTTGCCATGACCCCCAAAATAAGAAGACTGAGAGACACACAGACTTTTATGGGGAAAAGTGGGGCTTGATTGCCATCTGAGTTAACCTCTTGCTAGAGGTCAGGAGCAACCTGGCTCATCTGGCAGAAGAATGATGCCTTGGAGAAGACAGCCAAACCTGACCCACCAGAAATCTTAAAAATTGCAACCACCTCAAGAACCCAACCCTGCTGGCTGCCAATTGCTAGGACAGCATCTTTAGCTGCTTGGACCAAGCCCAGCCTCGGAAGCTGTCCTTGGTGCTGAATCTTCCCCCTCGGAAGGTGAACAGGAGACACCTTCCTGGACAGGTAAACTTGTTCCCTCCATCTCTCAAGGCCTTGTGCAGAACTGGTTCACCAGCACAGCCAGCAAAACTGGGCTTTCGAAAACTGGCAGGGCAGGGCTGGTTGCTAACTTGCACTAAGGCTCATGTACATTTTCCCAGCTTCCTGGGCATCAGAGATCAATGGGAGAAGGCAAAATCCCAAGGAAAAGTCAACCTCCAGGGGAAGATTTGATGTTGTACAAATGGCCACACTGTGGTGTTTTACCTCTGGCTTTCTCCAGCATCTGGCCGAGTGGGTTTGGCGTCTTCCATTGCCCCCTTTGCCTGGGAGGACTGCCCCAAATCTTTGTGGTTGCAGAAGAATTGCACGGGTATTGGCTGTGTCATCCTGCCCGCAGCTTCCACTGTCCACGGGTGTTCTGGCTTTCACCGCCCACACCACAATATTCCGAGCTGCCCATCTGCTGCAAACAAAGCCTCTTTCCTTTGGACGGGGGGAGGAAAAATCTTGGAGCAGCAGAGAAGAAATACTCTCGGCATTCAGCCTGCGATTACTGAAAGTGGCCGAGCAGGAGCTGAGCAGTGTTCTGGCTAAATGCTCCAATTTTCTCCGGCCCTCGCTTGACACGACTGCAGCATTTTCTAGCTGCGAGAAAATGAGAGTGGCAGAAACACTAAAAAGGGGAGAAGGGTTTTTTTTCCTTGGGGGGGGGGGTTCCTTTGCTTGTTGTTTTCATTGCCTTAATAAATCCTGAGGACATGCTAAACCCAGATGCGGTTTTCAAAATCTCAGCAGGTTGCAGAGGGTTGTTGCATTTCCTGCCACTAAAGATTGGTGATAGGGTTCGGATGAAGCTCAGAAAGATTTCCTGGGGTTTTCAGAAAATAAAAATAAAAATAAACGAAGGAGTGGTTTATACGGACCAGATTCTGATCCATACAAGAATAAATTGGTGGACGCAGATCTTCTCTCTGGCATGAAAACAAAGCTATTTTCACCAGCAATGTACTTTTGGGTACCAAACACCCGAAGCAAAGCTGGCTCAGCAAGAACCTGGTTTGACAAGGAGATTATTGATCTGGGGGTTATTGATCAGTCCTACTTTGGAAACAGATGGGCCTCTGGGATCCAGTCCGCGTGGTTCAGAAGATCCCAGGATAAAGGAAGGGGGAGGATTCAGTGCAGCCAATTCAGGGACTGGAGGCTAAAACATATACACAATGTTTGCAGGGATTGGGTATGTCTAGTTTAATGAAAAGAAGGACTAGAGGTGACATGATAGCAGCTTCCAATATTTGAGGGGCTGCCCCAAAGAAGAGGGGGTCAACCTATTCTCCAAAGCCCCTGAAGGCAGGACAAGAAGCAATGGATGGAAACTCATCAAGGAGAGAAGTAACCCGGAACTAAGGAGGAATTTCCGGACAGTGAAAACAATTTATCAGTGGAGCAGCTTCCCTCTAGAAATTGTGGGTGCTTCATCACTGGAGGTTTTAAAGATTGAATAGCCATTTGTCCAGGATCTCCTGCTTGAGCAGGGAGCTGGACTAGAAGACCTCCAAGGTCCCTTCCAACTCTATCGTTCTGGTTCCACTTTCTGAATGTTCCCAAGCCCACCACTTGGCTTCCCCTTCTGATATTTAACATCCGTGCCCCATTATCACCGGTCGATATTGCAGTTATTACTTAATGAGCTTAAAACTTGTCATTCTGGAGTTCCACCCGATCTGCGCATCACATGGCAGCTAATTGCCGCCGAAGTTATTTGGGGCTCTTAATGAAAATGCAAATACGGAGGCATTAATCAGACAATTACTTCTTAAGCACAAGACAGGCGACGATCCACCTAATTAAGAGATAAACAAAGTTAATCAGGGCTCTGACAACATCAGTTAAGGGGACGGATGGGCTGTGAAAAGGAATATTGCAGAATGAGGGATTAATGGGGAGACCCCCTCCCCACATCTGTTTCTTCTCTGCGGCTGAATTTGCGGATGAAAGGGAGCTAAATGTTGTTATTATTAAACTTTTTAAAAAATACTTTCTGTTTTGAAAGTTGAGTCATGGTCAGCGAACAAAACGCGAACGTCAAATCGTCATCATCCTCCATTTACAGGATGTGTCCAGATTCTAAGAAGGAATTGGAGCTAAATTCACAATATATTGCAGAGTTTAATGGACTGAGGCTGGAAGTTTATGTAGCCGTAGTCAGACTATTATAAATTATTTTTCTTTCCTTAGATAAAGGGTGCTGAAAATTAAATTCTTCTTCACATGTGCGATTTGAATACCTATGGGGCTCTGTGTGGGAGCAGGAAGTCTTGGAAAAAATCCCCAAATCTAGAAATCTAGCATCTCAAGGAGAGTGTTACCTTCCCTCTGGCATCTGAGTTATTTTATTGAGCGAGCCTATGCTCTGCTATTTGTAGAATGGCGGCTCATAGATTTTTATCCCACTGCTGACACCAGGAATCTATTTCTCAGGCGGTCAAATATGTCATTAGAGCAGCTGTGTAATCAAAGCCTCACCTCTCTTTATGGGTGCTGCGCATGTTAAAAAAAGGGGGGAAAGGGGTGTCACAGGGTTGTAGCTGCTTTATTGACTTTTTTGACCCCCTTTCCTGCGGACACCGTGGTACCTATAGTTTGATCTCACCTTTAAGGCCCAGCATTTTCTGACCCTAGGAAAATCATTTGCCCCCAAAGGGCTCCTAAAATCTCCCTTACAAACTGAGCAATATTAAATAAGCTGCCCCTTGTTCTTGGCAAGGACTTGTGTTATTTTTACCCTCCTTTGTGGTGGTTTTTAAATAAATAAATAAACTGTCTATCCAAGAATGGTTAAAACAGGGGAATGGAATAAAACAGGGGAAGAGCTGGGTTCAAATTCATCAGCAGCCACACAAACCCTCTGAGTGGGACTTTTATTTACTCTCAGCCCAGCCTACCTCACAGGGCTGTTGTTTGGGGATGGCTACCTGGAAGCTACCTGGAGCTCCTGAGGAAAATGTGGAGTATCCATCTAGTAGGTAAGAAATAACACGGTCTGAAAGCCAGGCATTTTCTGGCAGGGGAGCTCCTCCTGCTGGCTATCATTTCAATAGAATCAGCATAAAGCATGATCCATATTCAAGGCATGGTAGCCCCAAAGCCTCGGCCTCCTCCCCACTTTTCCAATTATATTTGAGATTCATCTTTGGCTACAACACCTTGGCTTATAAAAATGCAGATGGAGTCGATAGCAGAGCCCCAGATTTACGAGGCTGTTGGAAAGCAATACTCCCTGCTGGTCATAACTAATGTTTCTGTTTGTGCTGCACACCAGTCTTCTAATATAAATATGTTTCTTAAATATATATGCCCGGTTATTGATTCTCCGAAGTAGGCTGAGCAAATTACTGCGACTCATCTATTGTGCCATCGACCTGCTTCATGGTTAAAAAAAAAAGGGGGGGGAATTATATTCTGGAGAAGCTTGAAGCATGATGGGGGGACTTCAACTCCCAGAATTCTTTGGCCACAATCTCTGCCAAGGGAAGGATGGATGGATAAATAGAGACACAGGTCAATTTAATAAATAAATAAATAAATAAATAAATAAATAAATAAATAAATAAATAAATAAATAAATAAATAAATAAATAAATAAATAAATCCTCTTTCCCCCTCATCCCAGTCTGTCCTCCCTATGCACCCAAGTTTTGGGTCCAGTCTTGCATCGCTGGGCTGCTACTGCCACCTGCTGTCCATTCTGAGAAATACATCAAGTTGCTTCCCCCCCCCCCCCTTCCCTTGGCTTGGCCGATTGCAAAGAGAAGGAGCTTCTTTTGACTTCTGCAGAACATTTTTTCAGGGCCCTCCGAAAAGGCCCTCTTCCCTTCTCCAAAGCTGGATGGTTTGCTGTGAACTGTCTTAGACTCGACTCTCGGTGAACCCCCGTTTTGTGCTCCCCTTCCAGTGACCGTTCCCCATTTCAGAACAATGGTCGCTCTGGGAGACGGTCAGATCCCTGGACAGTCAAAAGGCTTCAACGGGTGTTTTGCTCCTATGCAAATCTCTGGCTTTACCCGGTGGGCAGAGGGAAGAGAACTCTCTCTGACCTCAGGCAGAGAAAAACAAGCAAAGGCCAAATGGGAAGACCCTCCCTCCACCAACAGCAGTTAAAAGGGATCCATTTTGGACCCCCCCATGAGCTGCAGAGCCTCACAATCAAATCCGAATCAAAACGAATTTCATGGCCTTGGCAAGGTCCAATCCCTTCTCCTTTAGCTGAGCCGGAGGCGCGTTGTCGAGAAAGGGGGAACGGACAGAAAGCAGACGGCACTACGCAGCTTCTCCTACGGTTCTCTTTATTACGTCGGGCGTTGAGAAGGGCGGCTTGGCAGGGAGGGGGGTCTGGCAGGAGGGTTACAAGAGCATGCAGTGGAAAATTGGGCAGACCCCTCTATTGTTGGTGACACCGTTTGCCCGCGAGATAAGTTGCCAACGTTGGTTTGTCTCGGTGAAGTCATTGCATGCTGAACCGAATGCAACTGTGAAGAGCGAAAAGAAGGCCGGGTGGGTGGGTGGGAGGGGGCCTTTGGGGGGGGGTGTTTCTAAGAGCATGCTTTAATTACAAAGAGAGAAGGCAGGAAGGACACCTTCACTGCAAATGTTCACCCATCATTGGGGGAGGGGAAAGGAGGGAGGGGTCTTCAAATCAATCGGAAAGGAGGAGAGGTGGGGCTCTAGTTCTCTGCCAACGGGTACTTTCATACTGTAGGTACAAAACAGTATTGAAAAAAGATTTTGAGAAAACCGAGTGGCTTTGGGGGGGGGGTTCTCAGTGGGGGGGACAGGGCAGGGGAGGAGAGTAGCCATTTCCCCCCCTTTTCTCCATTCTGTCCATCCTGATCCAGCATCTCCCTTCAAGGAAGGCTGTGAAGCAGAATCATTCCGTCTTTTGAGACCGAGAGACGGACGTTGCCCGCTTCTTACGATTAGATGCTTCTTCGCAGAATCCTCTCCGCTCTCTGAAATTCGGCAAGGGATCCAAGGCAAAGCCACGTCAAGTCCAACCCGAGAGAGAAGAAAAGAGATTTGAAGATGCGTCTAAAAATATTTGCGGCCTCGATAAATTTGAAGAGCTGTGTCCCACGTGCGCTAACCGGACCCTCATTTCTGGCCTGATGGGAAGCTCTCGTCAACCGGCCACCAGCTTTCTGAGGCTTGGGTGATGTCTGGGGGGGGGGGGGGAAGCAAGGCTGCTGGTTGCCACTGATTTTGTTCTCAGCCAGCAAATCTCTTCAACTGCTTGGGGGGTGAAGGTCAAAGGATGGGATGCAGGAATGCTGAGGCATTTCAGAGGAGAGGCCTCCGTGCAGAGAATGTTTGGCCATCCAGGACAGATGTGGGTGTGTAAGTTGTGGGCTCTTTCTCAAGCAATGGGGACGATTAGATTCTCTTGGACAAAGACAAGGAGGAATCGTCCAGGTATCGCCCCAAAACTCACAGGAATACTGAGCGAAGGAAATCGCTGGTTGTTTTCCACAAACTGAAGCTTTCCAGGTTGGGGAGGGAAGGAGCCCAATTCAGGGCCTGGAGAACGTGGTTTGTGAATTGAGGGGAGACCCCTCCTCTCTGTCTCTGGGCCCCCTCCCCTTTTCACCAGTCTCTTTGAGGAACACGGCCGCCACCTCTGCCTGCCTGGGGGTCTCTATCTCCAAGATTAGGGGTAAGATTGCTGTGGGGTTTGGGGAGCAGGGAAAGGAGAGGAAGAGGAGAGAGGGAGGGAAGGGAGGGAAATGAGGAGAAGGGAGGGAGGGAGGGAGGGAAGAAGGGAAGGAAGAAAGGGGATGAGAGGGGGGAGGAAGGAAGGAAGGAAGGAAGGAGAGGAAGAGGAGAGAGGGAGGGAAGGAAGAGAAATAAGGAGAAGGGAGGGAGGGAGGAAGGGAGAGAGAGAAGGGAGAGAAGGAAGGAAGAAGGGAAAAGAAGAGGAGGGAGGGAGGAGGGAAGGAAGGAAGGAGAGGAAGAGGAGGGAAGGAAGGAAGGAAGGAGTTTCAAGAACACTTGGGAGTGCAAGTCTCTTCAGCCAAAGGGGGGAGATGAAGGTGGCATTGGAAGGGGCAGGGGGAGATAATTTAGCTGCCAAGAAGCCGAGCCGAACTGAGGGTGCTCAATGGTGGGCTATTGCTTGAAAACCCCGGAGCCCCCCTTGTGGGAGGCCATGAGAGGCCCAGAGCCAAGCAGAGTGAGATGACCTGGGCCGAGAGAGGGGAGGGCTTGAGCCCGGCTCCTGCAGGGGAGGGAGGGAGGGAGGGAGGGGACCCTGCAGAGAACCCAGCTGTGGGATTTCCCAAGAGCAAAAGGGACACGGGGGTGTTGGAAGAAAAGATGGGCTGAAGATGGGGGGGAGGAGGGCAGAGGGGCACAGCCCCCTTAATCGCTGGACACGTGGTGCTCGTTCTGTAAGGCGTGCCAGCGTTCGATCTTCTTATCCTTGTTTTTGAGACACTCGTACCAGTGTTTCAAGCGCTCGCCTTTCGCTGTGATGCCCAGCTGGCAGCCGCCTGCGGCAGAGAGAGAAAGTTGGGAGGGGGTCAGGAAGGGCAAAGAGGGCCCACCACCCTGCACCTAAGGGGTCCCAGCAGGCCCCTTCCCAGGTCTTCTGCCTTAAACGAAAGGGGCCACTGAAGACCCAGAAAGCTGAACATTAGGGCAAGTCCTTTAAGGCAGGGCTCTCCAACCTTGGCAGCGTTAAGACCCGTGGACTTCTGCCCCCAGAATTCTTGTTTTAGATTAAATTATATTAAATTGTTCTAATTCTAGACCAGAAGTGGCCAACTTTGCGACTTTTAAGACTTGTGGACTTGAACTCCCAGAATTCTAGCTGGCTGGGGAATTCTGGGAGTTGAAGTCCACAGGTCTTAAAGGTTGGAGGCCCCTGCTTTAAGGTGTCATTTCACCCTCCTCCCCACAAGACTGACACGCAAGATGAGCCTCCTTCCTGGAATCCCCCCTCAAAACAAGCCAGCAGACCCCTCCCCAAAGAGTTCCTATCCTGCTCCCTGCAGCCACTCACCAATATAATCGTTGGACTTCCCAATGTCGTAATCCCAGACGGAGATATCCAGGGATTTCTTGGCCAGGTCGCTGTGTTTGATGTCGTAGAAAAATTCCTATCCAAACAGAGAAGAGATCAAGAGGCAGGAGCAGATCAACAACAGTAACCAGACAAAAGGAGTGTGTCTGTGTGGGTTTGTGTCTTTGAAGAAGGGAACTGATTTGCTACCAGCTTCCCCTTCCCCTTCCTTCCTCCCTCCCTCCCTCCCTCTCTTTTCTTTCTTTCTTTCTTTCTTTCTTTCTTTCTTTCTTTCTTTCTTTCTTTCTTTCTTTCTTCTTTCTTTCTCTTCTTCCTTCCTTTCCATCTCTCCCTCACTCCCTTCCTGTCTCTTTTTTTCGGCATCCAGGTGCTTTTTTTTAAAAGAGTGAAACGTTATGTTTGAAAATATATTTTTAAACCGTTTACCCACCACCTGCCTGAAGCAGCCAAGCCAGGTGACAAGCAGAAAAAGGCAAACAGGCTGGTGGGGGCATCGAGATCAGGAAAAACTTTGGAGGCCAACAGAAATCTGGCTCCTGCCTCACCTCGTTGAATTCGGGGTTCAGCGTCTTCTTCTTAATCTGCGTCTTTTGCTTGGCTTTCTTGCCCATGTCGGGTTTTAAGCAACTGCGGAAGGGAAGAAGAGGAAAAGTTGAGAAGAGGAAAAGACGGTAGCATTTCAACCCTGGTTGGCCCCCAACTCTGCAACCCCTGGACCCCTCTCTACTCCCTAGGCCGAGATTACAAGACTCCCTCCCGCCCCCCCCGCGCCCCCCCAAAAAGCCGTGCCTTTTCTGAGCCTGGTCAGAGGAGGCTTTGCCAGGCCTCCCACCAAGGGGCCCTTTCAGAGGCAGACCTACATTTTGACAAAGGGGTCCGAGTAGCCATTGGCATCCATGGCGGCTAAGTGGACGCAGCGCACAACGCCGACCACCAGGCCTCCTTTCTGGGTGTTGTACATGAGGGAGACCAGGATCTTCCCGCGTTCCTCCACCTCTCCGCCTTGGTCCATCTGTGGGGAAGAGAAAAGGGGGTTATGGGGGGGGGCACTTGTGCATCTCTCGCCCTGCTCCACCACCCTCGAAGCTGACCCCACCCAGAGCACGGAACAACTCAAAGGAGCAGGACAAGAGCAGAAGAGGTGGAGAGACCACCTGGCCCGGAGAAAGGTCGTAACGTCACCTTCATCATCATCATCGTCATCATCATCATCTCCAGAGAGCCCCTCCTCCCTCCCACCCTCTCAGCGCTGGGGCAGGGGAGGCTCAGCCCTCAGAGGAGCCTCTTAATGGAAGCCCCTACATCTGAGAGTCTGGAAATAATGACAGCTGGGATCAAAGCTCCATTCAGCCACTGGGAGGCAGGAGAAATTACTGGCAGACCGCAAAGGCTCCATCAGGCCACCAGGGGGCGCACTGGCCAAAGAAATGGAGGGCTCCGAATCTTTGCTTCTCCGGTTTCTGCAGGGGAAGCCAAACTACATCTTACTTCGTCTTCGTACAAGGCCATTCCTCGCGAGGAGCTGCTGGTTCCTGTCCGCTTCATCTGGGAGGAGCAGAGGAGAAGCAGCATCACCACCACCCAGAAGGCAATTAAAGGCTGCCTATTTTATTCGGTTTTTTTACTTTTTATACAAGGGGGAACCTCCCAAACTCTGTATTTTCCACACACCCCGCTCCCAACTGAACTGAGATTTAAGTTTTATCAGGGCATCAATGTTACTTTTTGCCTTAAATGGGTTTTGTGTGTGTGTGTGTGTGTGTGTTTTGGATTGTATTGTGTTTTCATTCCTCTTTGTTGCCTAGAGTTCCTCCTGGCTTATAAGCAGGTATCCGAGTTTGTTACTAGCACTAGCACTTAAGAATTATAGACCGCTTTGTAGTGCTTTCACAGCCCTCTCTAAGCGGTTTACAGAGTCAGCCTCTTGCAAACCCCAACTGTCTGGGTCCTCCTTTTACCCACCTCTGAAGGACCGAAGGCTGAGTCAACCTTGAGCCAGTGAGATTCAAACTGCCCAATTTGCAGGCAGCCAGCAGTCGGCAGAAGGAGGCTGCAGTCCTGCACTCTAACCACTGCGCCACCACGGCTCATGAATAAATAAACCGCCTTTTCTGAGATCTGAACCTGCCGCTGAAACCGCTCCTGCCTCCGTCACGCGCCTTCATCGTCCTTCTCCTGGCACAAAGTGGCAGAGTTCGGACGAGCAGAGCCAAGCAAGGAAAAGCAGGCAGAGATGGAGATACCCACCGGGACGACTCTTTCCAGGCAGATGTTGAAGTTCTTCTTCTGGTTGACTTTCAGCTTCTTGAGGGCCACCCTCGTCTCCCCGATGAACTCGTTGTGGCCGAATTTGTCTTCATCACAGACAGAGATCCTAAGCAGGAGAAGGGAAAACCCACCCAGGTCTCTCGAGGGAAAAGCCCCACCGGGTGGGAACTCCCCCCTGCCCCAACTCAGTGTGCGGACATGGAAAGTCCTGCATTTCTGTAAATTCAGGCAGTCCTTGACTTACAACCACAATTGAGCCCAACAGTTCTGTTGCTCAGCGAGAGATTGGTTCAGTGAACTTTGCCTCGTTTTATGACCTTTCTCGCCACCTTTGTTAAGCGAATCACGGCAGTCGTTGAGCTGGTAATGTGGTTGTTAAGTGAATCTGCCTTCCCCAATTGACTCTCCTTGTCAAAAGGGGATCATGTGACCTCGGGACACAGCAACGGTCGTAAGGATGAACCGGTTGCCAAAACGCCTGAATTTTGATTGCGTGACCCGAGGGATGCTAACGAAGGCCGTAACCCCACCCGATTGGCCTTCCGAAAAGCGGTGAAGACCTGGCTTTTCCGGCAGGCCTGGGGCCATTGATCTTGCTCTTGCGATCCGGCCATGAATGGTGTGAGTGAGTTTTAATGTTTTTAATTTTTAAATGTTTTTTATAATGATTTTAAATGCATTGTGAGCCGCCCTGAGTCTTCGGAGAGGGGCGGCATACAAATTGAATTAATAAATAATAAATAAATAAATAAGTGTGGAAAATGGTCCTAAGCCACTTTTTCCAGTGCCCTTGTAACTTTGGTTGCTAAATGGATTGCTGTTAAGTCGAGGACTACCTGCAGGCCAGGGGTCTCCAACCTTGGCAACTTTACGACTTGTGGACTTCAACTCCCAGAATTCAGAATTCTGGGAGTTGAAGTCCACAAGCCGTAAAGTTGCCAAGGTTGGAGACCCCTGCTGTAGACTAAGCCCCGTGTTTTTTCTGCCTGGGGAATTCTGGGAGTTGAAGTCCCCCCCATCCCCCCCGTCCTAAAGACAGGAAAAGAGCCTCTGGCAGAGAGCCAACCCGTTCTCTTGCCTTAAGGTCTTCCTCTGCATGTCCTCATCCGTGATGCCGTGATAGACCAGCGTTTCATTCCACACAGGATTCCGAGTGTTTCTCAGCGTCTTGGTCCGGAGTTTGTTGGACTGGCAGAAACAGGGGGCAAAAAAAGGCAAATGGGCATCTCTCTCTTCAATCCAAAAGGTCTCACTGAGCCACACTGGAGCCCAGACCCCCCCCCCCTTTACCTTGCTGGCCCCCGGCAACAGGTGCAGTTTGACGTAGGGATCTGCCAGCCCGTTGGAATCCATTGGCTTTAAGCCCTGGTAGAAAAAAGATCCCACAAAGGTCAACGAGAGGAGGAAACGGGGCAGACAGAACTGCAGATTAACAGAGTTGGAAGGGACCTCGGAGGTCATCTAGTCCAACCCCCCACCCAAGCAGGAGACCCTACACCATTTCTGACAGGTGGCAGCCCAGTCCCTTCTTGAAGCCTCCAGTGATGAAATTTCCACAACTTCCAAATGCAATTTCTGTTCCATGGGTTGATTGTTCTCTCTGTCAGAAAATTTCTTCTTATTTCCAGGTTGAATCTCTCCTTGTTCAGTTTCCATCCATTCTCCCTTGTCTGCCCTTCAGGTACTTTGGAGAACAGCTTGACCCCCTTCCTCTTCTCTGGGGCAGCCCCTCAAATATTGGAAGATGCTATCCTGTCTCCCCTGGTCCTTCTCTTCACTAGACTAGCCTGGCCCAGTTCCTGCAACCGTTCGTCGTATGTTTTAGCCTCCAGCCCCTTAATCCTCTTGGTTGCTCTTCTCTGCACTCTTTCCAGAGTCTCCACATCTTTTTTATAGTGTGGTGACCAAAACTGGATGCAGGATTCTAGGTGTGGCCTTACTAAGGCTTTATATAAAGAAAAATTACTTCTTTACTTATTTCCCTGCCGCCAGTTTTAGCCACGTCTTAAAATCCACGTGTTCGGATGCAAAGACCCAGTTGCTCTCCCTGATGGGGGGAAACGGGAGTAGGGGGAGTACCTTGGCCTTAATGATGGCGCATTGCAAGGAGCTGTTTTCCTGGTTGTACAAGAGGCTGAAGTCCAAAGCCCCCAGGGTGGCTGTTGGGAAAGGAGCAAAGGGTGAATTGGGAGGTTCCCCGTTCAGCCCAAAAGACAACCCCCCCACCCACTCCCCCAAAGCCCTTTGCATATAGCAGCAGTGAGGAACCCTTGGCCTTCAGCTTACATTGCAAAAGGCAAGGCACCCAAGGAAGAGGGCAGAGGAGGGCAGAGGAAAGGAGCGGTTGTTAAAGTGAGATTTTGAAGAGGGCAAGGGCAGGGCTGGGATGGGCACAGGGGAGCAGCAGGGGAAGGAAGAGAAGGGGCTGAGTGGAAGGGGGTCTTGTCAGAGGGACCCTGGGGAGAATTGCATCTGGGTCTGGATTCCTCTCGAGCTCTCGCTCTGCAATTGTGTCCCAGTCGCCAGCAGTATTGAGTTTTGGGCCCCCCAGATGAATAATTCAAAAACCCCCAAAACAAAGTGGAAGGTTGGGGGGAGGGGGGAAGGGGAGGGGGAGGGAGGCTTGTTAAGGAGGAGGGGAAATGGACGCAATCCATCCGCGCCTGGCCCACTTAGTACAGTGTTTCTCAACCTTGGTAGCTTGAAGATGGGTGGACTTCAACTCCCAGAATCCCCCAGCCAGCAGCGCTTGAAGATGGGTGGACTTTGCTGGCTGGGGGATTCTGGGAGTTGAAGTCCACCCATCTTCAAGCTTCCAAGGTTGAGAAACACTGACTTAGTAGATCCCGGGGAAGCCAGCCTGAGATTCCCAAGATCACCGTCATTAGCATAAAAAAACAAACAAACAAAAAACAAACCCTCCTTCGGAGGCCAAGCTAGACTGGCATATTTTAGGAATACAGGTAGTCCTCGACTTACGACCACAGATTCGCTGTCGCTGAGTGAAACATTTATTAAGTGAAACTTGGCCCGTTTTACGACCTTCCTTGCCGCAATTGTTAAGCGAATCACGGCAGCTGGCAAGTTAGGAAGAGACGGCCGTTAAGGGAACCCGGCTTCCCCATTGACTCTGCTTGTCAGGAAGTCGCAAAAGGGTCGCAAAAGTCACATGACCCCGGAACAGTGTGACCGTCGTAAGTGTGAAAAACAGTCGTAGGTCGCTTTTTCAGTGCCGTTGTAACGTCTAACGGTCACTGAATGAACTGTCGTAAGTCGAGGACAACCTGTGGGGCAGTGAGAGAGGAGATGGAGAAGAGGCTGCCAGGGAAGGTCAGATTCTCCAGCTGAGCCACACTTTGGGTCAGAAAAGTAAGCTCCTAGTCCTCAAGGTGGCCCAACTTGAGAATGGAGTCCGGAGGCCTTAAGGTGGCCGAGGTTAAACCCTGCTGGGAAGCGAGGGAGGGTCCATTCACCCACTTGTCTCATCCGAGTCGTAGCTGTTGGCTTCCTCTTCGTCGTCATCGTCAGGGGGAGGTGGCCGGGTGGCCGCAGGGGGAGCCACGGCCTGGCTGTACGGAACCGCCTGCCGTGGGGGCCTCTCTGCTCCCACTGTGGGGTACCCGGGCCCGGCGCTCTCGTCTCTGGGTGGTGCAGCAGAAAGAGAGGCAGGGGGCTCCGCCTGGGAGGACGCACCTGTGAAAGCAGAGAGCTGCTGGAGCAAAACCGACTTTTCCTCTGGAAACAGACATGGACATAATCAGGTCCAAGTGTCTGCGATGGGCCACGTCAGGAAAGAAGCCCATCTGAGGTTACGGAGGTGGACGATCAGCCCAGGGGCTCTTGCTAAGCTCAGCTCTTGACCTCAGGAGAGCAGGTGGGTTGTGGGCAGGTGGCTGAATCTCGTGGCCTGGCCCTCCACCCCTTCCCACGCAGGCCCTGCTGGGCATGGGGGCCCCGGCGTGAGGCAGCCCCCGTACTGGACCTGGTCCTGCCCCCTGGGCAGAGAGGCTCTGGTGGGGAGGCGCAGCAGGGTCTCTGGCGCCAGCAGCTGGGGCCGCGTTGGCTCGCTTGATCCCTAAGTGGGAAAAAGAAGGCAGAAAAAAAAGGTCACAGAAGGGATCCAGCTGCAGAGATCTGATGGAATCTGCTGGGGGCAGATCCACCGAGATGAGGACGGCGAAGAAGGGCCACTGAAATAAGCTCAGAGGCACTCTTTTCATGGCAGTGGTCGCCAGATTTACACCACCCACAGATTGAAGCTTGTCCTTCAGAGCAGAGTATTCACGGCCACTGTATTGCCAGAATCAGAAAGGGTGAAGGAAGTCTGTCTGGGGAATTCTGGGAGACGGAAGACCACCCCTCTTAAAATTGCCAAGGCTGAAAAACACAACTCTTCTGCACAGCTGCCAGAGGAAGAGCCGGCCTCTCACGTGTCCACACATCCTTACACAGACCCCCCTCATCTTCCTCTGCTCCCCCCTCACCTCCTGGGCTCCGAGCGACTTCATTCTCAGGTGGATAATCCTGGCTCGCCCGGGCATCTCTGGGGTGTTCGCTGCCACTTGGTGCCATCCTGGCCTCAGAAGGTTTCCGGTGAAGTGGGGGGTAATTTCCCCGATTGGAAGCAGGGGCTGCTGGCTCAGTTCCTGGTTTTTTGGAGGGTGGGGTGGGGAGAAATGAGACAACTAGAAAGCTCCAGGTACCCCTGTTGTTTTCTGCAGTTGCTCCCTTGAATAAATGGGGTTTGGGGGCAGCCAGGGAGCCCCTCCTTCCTTGCACCCTCTTCTCCCCCCCCCATGATCTTCTCCCCCAGCAGCGATCAGCAAGGAAGAAAGGAAGCTAAATGCTTTGCAAAGGATTCTGATTTTTATTCGTCCCAGGTAAAGCCAAGACCCTCCCTGCCTGTCTGGGATGGAAAAGAGGGATTTTATTTTATTTCTCTCCACCCCCCCATAAATAGAAACTGAGCTCTCTCTATCTCTCTTTCTTTCTCTCCTCTGTCCTCTCTCTTCTCTCTCTTCTCCTTCCTCTTTCTCTCTCTCTCCTCTCTGTCCTCTCTCTCTCTTTCTCCCTCCTGCCCCCCCCCTTTGGCTGCCTGGATCAGCTGTTCTGGGGAGCCAGCTAATGAGTGTTCAGACAGCGTCAATCAGACAGCCCGGTCTGGCGTTCCCGGCGGGCTTGACAATTCCAGGCAATTGACAGAGTAATTCAGATTTTAATAATGGCCCAATCACTCAAAATGAGCTGTTCCGGATGAGCAGCTGACAACTGCAGCTTCAGGGAGGGGGGGCACCCAAGGCCAGGCCGGGGCAGAGCAGATCTGCAGAAGCTGAGGGTGGGAGTGGCAGGTGTGTGTGTGTGTGTGTCAGCCTGAAACACCCCCCCCCAAAAAAACCAGTCCCCCCAAAATGGAACCTCACTTGAAAGGCAAAGGGACGAAAAGCAACATTGGCAGGGAAGCGTCTGTGTCTTACCGTACGAGCCTTGTTGGGCAGAAGCAGCAGCTGCAGCTTGATTTTGGGGAGAAAAAAGGAGATTTCAGGTCACCGAAGCAGAAAACGGACAGATAATTATTGGTTTCGCTCTCCTTTATTTGTGACTTTATCAACTGCTTCCGCAAAGGCGACTCTGCAGACACCGAAAAGACACTACAGGACAGAGGAGAGCGGAGGCTGCCCTCTGAGCCCTTCTGCACGCGTTATTATTATGGGATGCCGAAATTTGCCTCCAAAGACCTCCCTGGTACCTGGGCACAACCCCTCCCCCCAAAAAGCCCCCTATTTTCTTTGGTAAAGGCTGCAGGGTGCCAGCCTCCCTTTGCCAGCCTCCCGATGGGGACACTCAAAATCTTCTTGGGTTGATGATTTTGTCTGTCTCGTCCAGACAAATCTGAGGCCCATTTCATCGGAAAGATCTGCTCCAGGCTGGAAAAGCCACAGAGATTTTGACACAAGGCTGGTCAGCTTCAGGCTGCTCTGTTAAGCCTTCAGCCTTTCAGTCCAAACTCTCTTGATGGCTAAAAAGTGACATCCCTCCCCCCCCCGCAAAGATGGCCAGAAGGAAGCAGAGCATCTTCTTCAGTGCCTACATTGGATAGGCAAACTGCCCCCATGTCCTTGTCCCAACCCTCCTGAGAAAAATAAATCCTTTTGAAAATACTCTTTTCCTTCCTTTGGTGCCCTGATGCTGCCCTTTCCTGAAAGGCACGAGAGCGGAAACTAACCAAGGAGAAAAGCAACCTAGAATGAAGGAGGAATTTCCTGGCAGGGAGAACAGTGAAGCAGTGGAACGGAAGTTGCCTCCAAAAGTTGTGGATGCTCCATCAATGTAGGCTTTTAAGAAGAGGCTGGGCAACCCTTTGTCCGGAAGGCTATACAGTCTCCTGCCTTGAGCAGGCCTCCAAGTTCCCTTCCAACTCTGTCATTCTGAGATGAGGCTGGGCCCGCATTCCTGCTTCCCTGCAATCCCTCCAAAGTCTGACGGCCAAACCTTTAGGGCTCACCGGGGATCTGCTGGTGGGAATACGGTGCTGCTGGCTCCTGCATTGGGGGAGCAGGTCTGCTGGTGGCCGGCTGGGGCTTCTTGGCAATGGCCATGGGCTGGGGAAGCGTCTGCTTGGGCAAACCCTTGAAGAACCAGGCGCCGGAGCGTTTCCATACCTGGAGAGCGGAGAGCAAAGGAGAGGGAGGGGTTCCATGGGGCATGAAAGAGGGGTCCAGATTAAAGGGGTCCGGTCAACGGGACGGGAGGGGAGGGGGACAATCCTCGTATGGGCCACTCCTGGGGCTCAAAGGACTTTTAACCCTCTGGATCCCTCTCCTACGCTGGCCTTCCAATGGTGCTCTATTCGATTTTATTTATTAAATTTATATGCCGCCTATGTTGCTATACAAATGCAATAAAAATATAAAAGCAATTACAAATATAACAGCAATTAAAAGGGCTAAGCTTTGCTAAGCATTCCTTCTTTTATGTACACTGAGAGTGTATGCACCGAAGACAAATTCCTTGTGTGTCCAATCACACTTGGCCAATAAAGAATTCTATTCTATTCTATTCTATTCTATTCTATTCTATTCTATTCTATTCTATTCTATTCTATTCTATTCTATTCCATTCCATTCCATTCCATTCCATTCCATTCCATTCCATTCCTATCTCAGAACTGAACGCTCTGCAGGGTTCCTACTATGAACCCTGAAGGAGGAGGAATTTTTCCCTCCTCCAGACCCCCATCGCTTAAGGGCGGCCTTCATCTTGAAAAGGGGCTCCGGCTGCAGGAAGGAAAAGGGGCTCCGGCTGTTCGCCACAGCTCTGCTCCAGCTTTGCTGCATCCAAAGGGTGCAGGACCCCAGTGTTCCCCAAAGGCTTCGGAACAGCCTGGGCCGATCCCGGAGGGGCGAGGGGCGTTTCCAGAGCCCACCTCTCTCTGCTCGGTGCAGATCTTGCACAGCCAGACGGAGTGGGGCCGGTTGTTGGTGGTCTGGATGCCGCATTTGGTGCAAACGTTCTGCAAGGAAGAGAAAGACGCAAGGATGGCGCCTGTCCCAGGTGGCAGTGGAGAAGGCTCCGGGTTCAAAGTTGCCCATTGCCAGAGCAGCGTTTCGTTACTCATGTCTGCAGCCAAGATGCCACCAGCTTGGCTTCGGGCAGAGGCCCGCCTCCCGTTCAGTTCACTTAATTAACAGACTTAATTAAGAAGATTAATTTTAAAACAATAAGCTTTAGCAACAGCGGGGAAAGGCAGAAAGCAAGGCATTTTGCAAATGCGAGAGAAAGAGAGAGAAAGAGAAAGAAAGAAAAAGAGAGAAAGAGAGAAAGAGAGAGAGAGAAAGAGAGAGAGAAAAGAGAGAGAGAGAAACAAAAAGAGAGAGAAAGAAAGAGAGAAGAAAAAAAAGAGTGAGAGAGAAAGAGAGAAAGAAAAAGAGAGAGAGAGAAAAAGAGAAAGAGAGAAAGAAAGAAAAAGAGAGAAAGAAAGAGAAAGAGAGATGCTACATGGAAGCGGAAGGCAGAAAGAAGACCCCTCCTGCAGGGGGGCAAGAAAGCCTGCAGGACAGGGACCCCCCCCCTCACCTTTTTGCAGTCTTCACACACCACGCAAGCCGAGCCCGGGTGACCCAGCTGTTCTCCGCATAAAATGCAGCGGTCCACTCCGTCCCCTGCGATGTTACGCCGCATGTCGTCCAGGCGGTTCATGAGGCGCCTAAACCAAGGGGTAGGTGTGAGATCTAGAGACCCCCTCCCCCCACCAGGCCAGAATCAAGCCCCCTTTGCAAATGAGGAGGGGGGAGACACCCTCCCACCCTCCACCCTTCAAGCGGGCGGTTTGGACGCACGGAGGAGAGACACCCCGAAGTAGGGGAAATGAAAGAGGGGAGGGGGCTGCCAGCAGATTGAATCAGACAAGAAAGGGCCCGATTCTGGTTTGTTTTGGTCGTATTATCAACTGTGGTCACCTTGAGATTTTTTTCAAGCCTGGGATTTCTGGGCCCAGCCCCTAGCCATCCGGAAAAGTTGGGGAAGTCCACATTTTGGGAAAACCGAGCCAGCCCCCCCTCCCCCCTTAAAGCGCCCCCTCTCTCAGGCCCCCTCGTCATCTGTTGTTTGGGCTGGCAGAGGAAGGGAGGCTTGGGCGGCGTGTCTGTTGGCTGCCAGGCGGCTTTCCAGACAGCCAATCTGCTTGACGGATCGCAGCAAGATCTCAATATTTCTCCAGGGAGAGAGCGCACACATTCCGATTTGGCACACGCAGCCCCACGTTAAGGGGGTGGGCTGCTTCGCGAGGGCTTCGCGGGGAAGCTGCCGCTGACAAGCCATCACCGCAGGTTCACAGGCAAAGCCAAATGCAGAACACGCGGGCGTCACGCGGGAACAAAGCCGGGCTGCACCGTCCCTGCAGGAGGGGATTTTAGACACCCTGATGCTCATTTTTTAAAATAAATACGGCGGTGCCTTAAGGAAGGCAGCGATGCGTCAAAGAAACACCGACCACAAAGCCCCACCTGGCAGGTAGTCCTCGACTTACGACCGCCATCGAGCCCAGAATTTCTGTTCTTAAGCGAGACATTTGCCCCATCTCACGACCTTTCTAGCCACCGTTGTTAATCATTGCACTGCAGAGTTAGTAACCCGGTGGTTAGACGAATCTGGCTCCCCCATTGGCTTCTGCCCATCAGGAGGTCGCAAAAGGGGATTCCGTGATCCCGGGGGACACTGCAACCGTCGTAAATGTGAATCAGTTGCCAAGCATCCGAATTTTTATCGTGTGACCGTGGGGGGGTGCTGCAACGGTCGTAAGTGCGAAAAGAGGCCCTAAGTCACTTTTTCCCCGTGCTGTTGTAACTTTGAACGGTCACTAAACGGACTGTTGTAAACCGAGGACTGCCTGTATTCTCGCCTGATCTCGGAGGCCAGAGTGCAGCCACAGCTGCCATCACAACCGCACAGAGTAATAATCCTCGTAAGCTTCCAAACTCAGCAACAGGATTCCAAGAACCGGCCAAAGTCCGGACTCTGCATTCCTAAGCCGTTTTCAGCTACAGGAGGCCAGGCGAACGGGGTGGGGAGGGGGCTTGGGGAGGGGGGTTTCCACAGGGCAGCCAGAGAGAAATCTCCTTGGCCAGAGCTCAGCCTCCAGGGCAGGAGAGAGCAGGGGAGGGGCAAAGAATCCCAAAGGCTGGCAGAACACCTGAACTTCCCGCAACGGGAATTGTGGCAACTTCCCACTTACGGCAGCCCTGCCTACGTGGCAACCAGGAATTCTAACCAAGGTAGAAACCTGGGCTTCTCTCTCTTCCTGGCCCCTGCTTTGCCCTCCTGCCCAAGTCCGGGAGAACTTCAACAGACCTCCTGTTCCTTGTCCAGCCTGGGTGACCATCTCAAGGCGAGAAGATCCCCGGTGCCCAATTCTGAACTCAAATCTACCTGCAAGGCCACACGGTCTGATCTAGAGGATGCTAGGAATGTGGGAAATGTTGCCTCACTCACCCACCCACCCCCTTCCTTCCTCTCTGGAAAACTGCATGCTTCCTCCCTTTGCATTTTGCATACATTTTGCAGCTGCTGTCAGCCGCTTCCCGGTGAGATACGTTCCTTCTTGTCTTCCCCTGGAAAGAATTGGTGCAGTGCAGCACCGGAGAGGAGAGGGACTAAGTCGGCTGAACTCTTTCCTCCCTCCCCGCAGAGCTGGTAAAGGGAAGAGCAGCAGGGATTAAAGAAAAATAATAATCACAACAACAACAACAATACTGCTGTACCAGGAGATGCCAGAGTCAAATAGCGCAAACGAAATAGCGCAATCTGACCATCGAAACTACACGGCTATGGATGAAACATGTGAGAGTGATACCCATTGTCATCAGGGCACTTGGTAGCATGTCCAAGAATTTTACAAAACACATCAAGAAATTGAGGCTTCCTGCAATAACACCAGCAGAACTCCAAAAAACTGCACTACTTGGAACATGGTACATCTTAAGAAGGTACTTGGTTGATCCCTAGGACGCTGGCAGCAACCCCTATCAACCATTAGCCCCAGTCAGTGGCATTTGTGATGCATTTTTGAATGTCCAGTTGACTCATGTTTAATGAATAAAGTATATAACGGAGGAGGAGGAGGAGAAAAGGAGGAAGAAGAAGAAGAGGAAGAAGAAGGAGGAGGAAGAGGAGGAGGAGGAGGAGGAGGAGAAGGTACTTGGTTGATCCCTAGGACGCTGGCAGCAACCCGTATCAACCATTAGCCCCAGTCAGTGGTATCTGTGACACATTTTTAAATGATCAGTTGACTGAGTTTCATGTTTAATGAATAAAAGAGATAATAATAATAATAATAATAATAATAATAATAATAATAATAATAATAATAATAATAATAATAATAATAATAATAAAACAGAGAAACCTGGGAATGTGATTTTTCTCTGCGCTCTTCTTTTGAGCAGCTCCACTCATCCGATGGCAGGGAAAGAAACGAGGAAGCTGACCCCGAACTATCTTCCTCTTCCTCTCCCCACCCCCCAGTCGGGACTGCTTCCTTTGAGGAGGGGGCCCCTGGTCTGGGGAGGTGTTGGAGACCGAAGGGCACTAAGGAATGCCAAGACCCCCAAAGGTCCCTCCCTTCCTCACCGGATCCTGTCTTGCTCCATCTCCTCCATCTTCTCGGCTCTCGCGATGACGCGGTTGATGATCTCTTTCTCTTCATCGGTCAGTTCTTCGCCCTTCCGCCCACGTTCCGGCTGCTTTCCATGGGCCGAGTGACCCTCAGGAGCTCTGGGGAGAAAAAAGCCCACATCACCCCATAAAGGAGGTCTCTATGCCAAGTCTTGAAGGGTCAGGCAGATGTGCCACCATCGAGAGAGCGTTCCCGTTGAGATTCCACCTATTTATTTACTTAGTAAATTTCACGTTTCTTAACCGCCTTTGGAGGCTCACGGCCAGGCTAGTCCTTACATGATAAAGCCGTCAGAAAGGCTTTTGTGGTCGGTACTTAAAACCTGAATTCAGAAGGGGCTTTCAGTGCCGGGACATATGACCAGAAGGTAGCTGAGCAGCCTGCAGAGAACTGCTCTCACCCCTTCAGAAGAGAAGAGGGCTCCCCATTGGGGACCCAGCCTGGCCAAGGCCCTTCCCACTAGCTGTGGCTCCCAGGAGTGGCACATGGACTTCATTGCAAGGGTTTGTCCTTTGAGGGCCCCCCTGTGGGACATGATCTTCTGGAACAGGGGTTTGTTCAAAAGATCCAACCACCGGTATAGTCGAACCATTCCGGCTGCCATCGGTTGCTGGGGCTGCAGAAAGAGGAAAAAGCTGGCTTGGGTTTGCCAAGGAAGAGCAAAGTGGAAAAATAAGGGTTGTGCCTCCGAAGCCAGCTCCGTTAATAATCTGTTTGTCCTCTTCAAATAATAAGTCAGCATCTCTGGCTCACGGTGTTGTATGAATCAGCCGGCTTCGTTTCCTGACAGCGGCAGGCTATATTTTGCTAAATAATAAAAGGAATTTGCGTGCAGCGGGCCAGCCTCTCCGAGGGGATGCAGAAAACAAGCCTGCTACAATTAAAGTGAAAATGCCAGAAATTTTAGAGAGTGCAGGAAGGAACTAAAGCCTAATTACAAAAGTATTGGGGATGCTTGGCAAAGGAAAAGCAACCCTAAAACAAATAAAATAAATAGAACTGATGTTTCGATGTGCCAAAATTCACCAGCAACCAACGTCAAGATACCCGCAGAGCCGTGGCCCTAGCAGCCAAATCCCTCGGGGTTGTGCTCCCCCTCAAGTGACCTGCAAGCAATTTAAAACCTAATGAATTCCCCCCCCTCCTCCGTATGTCTTCTCCTTCCTTCTCCGCAGGCCATTAGCATCCAGGCAGTTGATAAGGAGTGGAGAGTTCTTGTGCGGAGCAAGAGATGCATATATTATTTAAATTCCCGGAATTGAATTCAGGCACTAAACCGAGGAGCGAGGCGAGATAGAACAGGCGCTTCGGGGTGGAAATTAACAGGCTGAATTCAATTACATGGGGCAAAGCCGGTCAGCGAGATGCGGAGGTCAAATGAGGAAATTCTGATTAATGCGCAGACAAACCCCGGGCTCAGAGACAGCCTTGGGGCGCAGATACCCATCTCATGACTGGAAAGGAGGAGAGGGTGCCAGGGGGTGAGTGGGTGGGGGAATGGAAATTCCCTGGCTGGCAATCCTGGGATGGAAGGGGCCCTTGAGGTCATCAGGTCCAGCCTTCTGTTTGGTGCAGGAACATAGCTAGAGCATCTAAAGCAGGGTGCGGCATTGTGGCAACTTTAGGACCTGTGGACTTCAACTCCCAGAATTCCTGAATCCAGAAGTCGTTAAGTTGCGATAGTCAGAAGATTATAAGAATAAATGTACAATTATGATGATAATACAGACAGAATAAATCTGAAAAGAAACTGAAAGGAAGTATCTACGATTAGAATACAGGAGTTGCTCGGATACCAAAGGAGGTGAATATTCCACAGCAAAGAATAGAGAAAGGAGAGAGGAGTAGAGGTTAGGAAGAGGAGAGGGAGGGAGGGAGAGGAATGGAAGGAAGGGAAAAGGAGAGGAAGGAAGGGTAGGGGACAGGAGTAGGAGAGAAGGTGAGAAGGGGGAAAAGAAGAGAGAAGTGGGGGAAAGGAAAAGGAAGTAGGATGAGGTAGGAGAGGAGGAAGGAGAAAGTAGGAGAGGAGAGGAGAGGAGGGAGGGAAGGGAAAGAAAGGAGGAGAAGAAGAAGAAGGTTTGTTGCGAAATAAGGGAAGAAAGAGAAGAAGAGCAACTCCGAATGTAATTAAAATGCCTTATTTTAATGCTTTCTTTAAGGAAAACATGTATATGTAGGATTTATTATGTATAAGAAAATGTACATTTTCTATTATGTGTATAAGAAATAAAACTGAAAAAACTTTTCAAAAAAAACCCCAAAAAAGTTGCGATAGTCGCCCACCCCTGAAAGAGACGCCCCTCTACCCCTTCCTTGGAAACCTCCAGCGTAGGAGACCCCACCAGTTCTCTGGCTCTGCCAGGACCTCCAGCTCCTTCTAGAGACCCACCACCAGTGGGGGTATTCAGCAGGTTCTATCCGGTTCGGGCGAAGCGGTAGGGCCACCGCCAGGAGGCTCCGCCCACCTATCCAGACGTCACCACGTCCTGTGTTTGATGCTCTGCGCGCGCTCACATTTACAAACTGGTAGTGAAGGTAAGTGAATCCCAACCCCTTCCCACAACCCCCATGGAACCACCCGTAGCCTCACAACCCCTATGCTTTGGTCTTTGTGTGCTGGGCACAACCACGGTGGGCACATCCTGCAAAGGCACCCACCCATGAAGGCTACCGTAATTCAGGAAACCGGGGTTACCCAAACCAAGGCTTAGTGTGGCATGGACGCTGCCAAGGGAACTCTGCGGCTGGGAGTTGCTCACCTGCTCTGAAGAGCCATCTGCCGGTCACTCTGATACCCCCACTGGCCGGGGCTGCTGCTGACTGCCGTGTCCGTCATGGTCTAAGTCAGGAGAGTCTGAAAAACAAAAGATGTGCAAGCTTGAAGTGGGAGGAGGAAGAGGAAGAGGAGGAGGTGTCATATATGGAGCTCTCCACTTTTCGGGCCATCTACAGCTGCAATCTCCTTCCCATGCACCCAAACATCACAGACGTTGTGGTGGAAGGTAGTCTGGATTCCCAGGAGGGAGGGGCCGCCTTCCAGAGGCCAAAGAGGCAGCAAAGCATGGAGAATTTGGTCGGCAGGAAAGGGTTAAGGGGGCTCCTCCCCAGCAGTTCCCAGAGCATCAATAGTTGCTTGACTCTGGCAAGATCCTGTCTAAAGGCAAAGAACAATCAAGAAATTACTCAGAAGTCCCTCCACCTGTCCTGCGGAAACATCCCTGATGCCACCAAGAGCCGTCTGAAAACATCCCTAGCTGGAGCGCAAGGGGCGGTTCTACGGCCCAACCGGAGCTTTTCTGCCTGCATCAAGGCACCCAGCCATTGCAAGGAGAAAAAGTTTCCCGGTAGAGTACTCTTGCAAATGGATCCTTGCTGCATGCCAACTTGCTTCCAACTGGAAACTGGCCAGCAGAAAGGCACTTTAGCAATCAAACTGGGAGAGTTGGAAGAGGCGCCCGTGTGGATGGCTTCCTTCTGCTTCCTTCCACCATCCATCATTCCTCACTTCTGGTGCCTCAGCAGAACTCTGACAGTCTTTCTGCAAATCTCCCCACTGTTAATTTTCTAAATGGCTCAGAATGTCTCTTTCTTCAATGTCATTTCTACTTTGGCCCAGATTTCACTGAAACCACCAGTCTTAATGCCCTCTTCGCCCCTGGCCAGAATCACAAAATGTAGCCCTTGGGGCTATGCAAGGATTTCTGCCTTTGCGGGACTTTTACACCTAAAAAACACACCTGCAGCCCACCCACGTCCACCTGGAGGGCCAGTGAGTCACCACTCTCTGCCCACGAAACAGACCAGGTGATCTCTGTCCACCGGAGGCTTCCTGGAGACTGCAGTCCCCATCATCTCCGTGCAGCTCTTCCCTGCTCCCCCATCTCCCCTCCGAAGCCCAAATTTAAGCGGAAGAAAGAACCACAAATAGGTCTTTGGCCAGCAAGGAGAGGGACACTTTTAGCCACTTTTCAAAGAGAATTTGCCTTCATGGTGTTTCCAAATGAAACACCTGACATTCCCATGGAGAACCAGCCGGGCAACCATGAGGAGGAGACAGGCCTGTTATTGGGCTTTGCACACACACACACACACACACCAGTTGTGTTGCTTATCTAACTCCATCAACAGATTCTTGGCTGGCTGAAGAGCATCTGGAAAAACTGCCAAGTTTCCTCTAAGTAACTCATTCTAGGCCTGCGGGAAAGCAGCCGAGCTGGCAAGAGAGCCTCCCTCTGCCTCTGGTGGACCCACCCAATTCCTGGAGGGGGAGAAGGAAAGCGGCACAGGGGGCTTCCTGCAGAAGAGATGGGGGGGGAGGCGGAGCACTCCCTGTTTGAGCAAATGACTGGGGACCGCCTACCATCGAAAGAAGAAAAAAAAATAGAAAAAACGATTCGTTGGAAGTTACAGTTGTGACTGCGCAGGATTGATTCAGCTGCTGGCCACGTATTTTTTTTTCTATTGACCCCGTTCAAAGTTACAATGGGAAGAGCCGCTGGAGGGGCCTCTAGGAAGCTGCCCCAAAGGGGAGCAGGAAGGGAGGTTCTGCAAGGCAGGGAGGGCAGCTGGCATCCAGGAGACACAGCTTTCCCCAGCATCCCTCAAAGCTGAACCAAGAGTGGGGAAAGGGGCCTTGGAGACGGGCGAAAGGGCCGGTGCTCCAGAGAGGGAGGCAGCTTCAGCCAAAGGCTCCAGAGCTTAGAGGAAGGCAGGGCCGGTTCTGCAATGCAGCTCTCTTCCATCCTGATGGGGTGGGGAGGGCAGAGAAGGTGGCCACAAATGCCACGAAGGAGTCAGAGTTTGGCTTCTTTTGTTCCTTCCTGCTTTACTCTGTCTCTCTCTCTCTTTTTTAAAGGGGGTGGGGAACCCACTGAGAAACTTCAAAGTGCCATTGGTCTGAAGGGATGGGGAGGGAGAGATGGATGGAAGGGAGAAGGGGAAGAAAGAGAGAGAGCGGGGGAGGGGGAGGGAAATAAATCCGGAGATTTCTCTCTCTCCCTCTTTCCTCCTCTTTCTTCTCCCTTCCATCCGTCTCCTCCTCCCTTCCCGCTTCCTAAGCACATTTCAGAATTAATGACAGACCGGTCCTTTCCTGGTTAGAAGAGAGAGACTGAGATGGACAGATTCAGATCACATTTATTTACATAACACAAGAGATGTGTGTGAGGGGGGGGCAGAGGCCTCCCCCTCTCCTCTTCTCTGACTCAATTCAAACCACCCAAGTCTTTCCCTTCCACCAGTGCAGACCAGCATTCGAGGCTATTTCAACCACGTGGCCAGGAAATCACCTGTAAAGCCTTCTGCTGTTTGCAGAGGCGATTTGCAAAGGGGGGGATTCTGAGCCCCCCCCCCGGCTAACTCTTAAACAGTTTGATTCTCTTGGGGGCCGAAGGACCCCACAACTGTCCTAAAGACACCCTGCTGTCCCCCATTAGCCATTTCGTAAGCTGTGGTCTCACCCGTCCTCCTCCTTCTCTCGGTCTCTTTCAAAGCCTCCCTCTTTGAACCAGGCTGCCTCTGCTGTCCTATCTGGGTCTGGCATCCCAATTAAAACCAGTGGGACAACCCCCACCCCACCATCCCCCACCCCTCCTTTTGCAGGATGCTGACAAGGAAGAGAAGCACGGAGTTAATTGCACTGTAAATTACAGCCAATTCGCCAGAGAACCGATTCAGGATACGAAGGGCAGATCAGTTCATTTCTCTCCCAACTCATCACTTCGTTTGCCCCAGTTCATCCCAAAGGTCCTGGACTCTTCTTCCTCTCCCCCAGAGAGAGAGGGCAGAAGGGCTGCAGCTAAGCTTTGCTCAGTGACAAAGGGTGGTGGTGGGGGGGGCAGGGAAGTCTTGCACGCTCCAGGCTCTTCTGCAGAGCTTCTGAGGCAAGTCAACGGCTCTTCCTTCCTTGCAAAACAGCGGATGGATAACGGATGCAAGCCGAAGGGGAGGAAAAAGGCAGGACGAGAGAGAAATCAGCATCTCTTTTCTACCTCTGCAGAAACAGGCAGGAAGGGACTTGGAGAGGGGGCCAGCAAGGCCATTGTTCCTGGGGGCAGAGGGGAAGGCCAGGATGAGGATAATGGACTGATGACTGATTCAGAGGGGAGCTGTCCAAGGTAGTCAGAGTAGAATATCTGCAGTCAGTGGCAGCTCCTTTCCTACTTCCTCAGGTACCCAGATCTCAAACAGTCCCCATCCTCTTCTGGAGAGCCCCCCTTTCCACGGCAGCCCCCTCTCAGTTTGCATTCAGGCTGGCTGACCCCATCCCCACCCCCTTGCCCACAAGTCTGCCTGTGGAAGCCACATTCGAGGCTGGCGAGGCATGCCAAAAACTCGTCAGATGCCTAATTACCCATTCCTGAAAAGTTGCTCCGCCTTCAGCTGCAGGAGACCTGAAAACTGAGCTGCTTCCAGAGAGGGGAAGAAATTAAATCCAGTGGCCCAGTTTCTCCACGGAGGAGAGCCTCCCTCGGCCTGCCTCCGCCCAAGAGCTTGTTGGCATCCATTGTTTTGCATTCAGAAAGAGGGAATCAAACTGGTAGCCATGATAGTTTGCTGGAGAAGGAGGAGAGCTCCAGCTGGACACAAACTCAGCATGCTTTGCGCTGCCCAAACCAAGAAAATTCTAAGCAACAGTTGCCTAGCATGGCTGTTCCACAATATTTACAACAAATCCACTCCTCCTCTTCCTCTTCTTTCCTTTCTTCCACTATTCTCCCTTCCTTCCTTCCTTCCTTCTCCTCCTCTTTCTTTCATCAACTCCCTTCCCTTCCCACGCAGCATGAAAAATTCAACCCTGCTTTCTCCAATTCTGCTCTCCTTCTTCAACCTCTCATCCCAGCCAGTCATCAATCCAGTCCACCTTTCACCTTCCTCCCTTCAGGGACCTTCAAACGTCAAAATTTCCATTCCGGGAGGCACTTGCCCCCCCCCAAGGCAACCACCAGCCGTTTTTTGCACACCTTTTGCACGCCTTTTTCCTCCCTGTTCAGCACCTGATCTGTTTTCCCTTTCTTGCTATCCCTCAGTCCTACCTAGAGCAAATCTCTTTGCAATGTGTGTTGCAATGTGGGTGGTGGGAGAACCATGTCACCAGCAGGCCAGGCCTGGAAGCACCAAAAGAGCCTCCTCCCTCCCCTGCAGGAGGGGCCACACACCCCCTGAGTTTGTTTAAAGGCTGTCACCTCCTGCAGCAGGAGAATGTCTCCCTTCCCCATTGCAGGGCAAATCCCCGGTCATTTCCCCCCTACAAGGATCGCGCTTGTCTTCCTGCTGCATTTCTGGGGGGGGGGAGGAGGGGGCTTTCCAAAAGATCCCTTTGGATTCCTTTCTCAGGGCTGCCTGAATCTCAGCAAAGCGGGAATCCGAAAAAGCAGCCAGCCACTGCAGCGCCCTGCAAACCCTGCGATGCAGAGACGGCATCAGCCAACCCATCCCTTCCCCTGAAATTGCGGAGACTAATTACAGGGGAAACAAGAGCTCCCTGGGTGGACAAAGGGATGGGTCAGAAGGAAAGTTGCATCCTGGGCTCTGCTCTCAGTCTCACTTGCTTCCCCCCTTTGGTGATGGAGCAGGATTGGAAGCACTGCAGCCATTTGGGGTGGAGGGAAGGGGAGGATGGGAGGGAAGGGCTCTGGATGCTGGCTCTGCACCCCAACAATCACCCCATATCCCCCTGCAGAGAGTCAAAGCCTGACAGAGAAAAGGGAGTGAGTCCTGAGCTTTTTCAACCTGACCAAACCAGAAATGAAGCTGAACATCCCAGGAATTGTCAGGGAAAGAAGGAGATTTTGCAGGAAGGATGTTCTCTTCCAGATGTGAGAAGGGAAGAGAAGGCGAGCTCAGCAAAGGCTCCCAACCTCACACCCCCAGCGCTCTCCCCTGCCTCCTCTAAGGAACTCGCCAGGGCAGCGTATCCAGCCTGGCGTTGACTCTGGAACTGGCTTGGCAGGTCAACTTGGCCAAGTGACCAAGAGGGGATTGACTCCAAAGGAAGTCAATAGTAGGAAAGGTCCTCCAAAGTCCTTTCCTACTGTGTTATTCTGAGGGAGCACAAGCTTGCGTAGCAGTAGGAGACCTAACAAGTGAGCGCTGAGGCAACGATGGACAATGTCTTGGACCCCACAACAACTGGCCAAGAAAGCATCTGGAGAAAACCCAGCAGCAGAGAGATTCTTTGCAGGCAGGATTAGCAAATGTTTTCCCCAGGGTAGGAACTTCCTACTTGGGGTCTACCTCATCCAGGAGGTGCCTAGACTGCCCAATAACGCAGCCCTCTATTCTTGGACCTTCCCCTAGGAGCTTTTCTCTCAAGCGTTTCCAGGGATTTGGTTGCCCAGTTTTCTCCTCTCGTGGACCAGAATATTTTTTTTCCTGGGGTCCCTCTCTTTGCCTCCCCAATCTTCCTTCCTTCCACTGCGAGGGTTCAGAATCCTGCCCGGATGGAGCCGAGCACGTTCTGAGGGTGCCCAGTCAGCAAGGCAGCGTGGGGCACGAGGCGCCTTTGCTGCAAGGAGCAGAAAACTTCAGCCGGGCACAGCAGACTCTTCGCGTGACCAGAGGAGACGTTGCCTGCGGGAAGGAAGGAAGGAAGGAAGGAAGGAAGGAAGGAAGGAAGGAAGGAAGGAAGGAAGGAAGGAAGGAAGGGAGCCATAATCCACACCTGACTCTGCTCCCTTGCAGCCTCTCTCTTCCAAGCTCTTATCCGCCAGGCTTGCAGCAAGGACAGCTTGAAAAGCAGCACGTGGCACGGCTGGGCCAGATCATAAATCACACAAAATAATCCATGCACGGAGAGCAGCCTCCGCGTCCATGCCAGGCACCCTGAAAAATCATCCCTGCCATTCATTGCGAGGCCAGCAAAGACATCCCGAGTGGTTGCTTCGTGGTGGTGTAAAATGATGGCTCCCTTCAGCGGCTGCAGATCGTTTGTTCCACTCCTGGATGGGGAAGGCGGTTACTAAGGATGGAGGCGATTCAAAAATCAGGGTGGGGCGGGTGAGGGAAAGGTTTAACAAATCCCATCTCGAAGGGGATGCCCCTACTGAGGGGGAGACGCTGAAGTCCAACCGGTGCCCTCCCACAGGAGCCCCCCAAAAAAAAAATCCCCCCTCACCCAGGGTGGGCTACGTTTCAAGCCCCCCTTTGCCCCTTGCCAGCTCCTCTGCATTTCTGCCCCTTCTGGGTTTAAAGGTTCAGTCCGTGCTTAGGGCTGGTCGGTTCCCCTCTGAAGCCCTCGTCCAGATTCGGTTGCAGATCTTCCTGCTGTCTTTGGTTCTCTGAGACCCGCTGGAATGAAGCTGCGATGCGTGTCTTTCAGCCGTGAATGAAGGGAGCCGTGGAGGGCAAGACGATACGCCCACCTGGCCCTCAATGGACCACGGGTGGCTTCTAGGAAGCCCACAGAGAGGCCCCGAGGTCTTCTCCAATATCTTTTTCTCCAGTCTGGGTGCTTCAGCCCCACTGACGGAGGGTCCATAGGGCAGAGGCCCTCTTTCCAGATGTCATCTCCCAAGCTTCCTCATCCCAAGCAAGAGGAGGTCTACCCAGAAGGCTAGCTTAATCTAGGAGAGCCTCTTGCGTCACCAGGCCCGATCTCCTCTGCCCTGCCTGCTGTGGTTTGAGCGGCCTTCAACAGGCCTCGGGGTTGACCCTGAAGCCTTCCATGGTCAAGACGAGGCTCCACACTCAAGCGCTACGCCCTTCCCAGCCCCCAGCCCCACCGAGGCTGGTTCTTTTCCCAAGGAGGGAGGCAGCTGCTCCAAAGACCAGGGTTGGAAGAGGCGTTGGGGGTGCCAACCAGTATATCCACCAAGCAAGCTGGCTTCGCAACAGGACCCTGTCCAGTCTGGGGGGCTGAACTAGCCTGAACTGCCCTCAAGGTAGCTTCTTACGAGGAACAGGCAGGTGTGGGCAGGAAGACCCCTTTCCTCTTCCCCCAAATTTGTCTATAGGAGGTTGGGTTCTGGATTCAGGTTCATCCAACGGAAGCACCTAAACTAGCGACTTGGGTCTTTTCAGATCCTTGTTCCAGGCCTCTCTTGCACTGGGCCTCCTTCGCCCCTTGCCAGATCCTCTGCATTTCTGCCCCTCACCCAGGCGGGCGTCCTTCCTTTCCCTGTGGGGAAGGGCCCTCCCAGCAGCCTCACCATGGCAACCGCCCCTCTGGGAAGATGCACCGGCTCCACCAGGCTGATGGAAAAGCTGTCAGAAACAATAAACTTGCTGACAGCCACAAATCCCTTTTGCAAATTCCAGCCGGGATGTTTAATAGCCCCCGGCGAGATTTTGCAGTTGGCTGAAAAGAGGCCACCTGTTTGTGTGGCGTTTCCTCTCCCCCCTTCCCCCCCTTGCAGCTTCCTCTGCACCAATTCTGCATTCACGCCTGGATTTCTCTCCTCCGAGAGCAAAACCTCCTCCCAGATTAGAGCCTCCACCCGGGGACAAAATAGTTGGGCCTCCTCCCCAAATCAGATCGTGGTTACACTTTTGACGCTTCGGCTCATTTAGACTGCAGAAAAAAGAGGCAAAAAGAATCCTTTCCCTCACTTAGTTGGGAGATCCCCGGTCCCTTGGCCTTTGGAGCAGAAGGGGCTTCAGTGGCACCAGCCTTTCTCCTCCCGTCCTGGAAGCTTATTTTTGGCTTTGCTCTTCACACCTTCTGGGTGCAATGGGGGTTTTACGAAAAGGAAGCAAATCGAGCGTCAGAATCTGCTCTCGAACTGACGCACCGGCACCAAGGAGGAAACTCCAGGTAGGCCCCAGCCAAAATCTCCTCCTTTGCAGAGCTTGGGGCCTGTGGTGTATTTTGCAGGAAACAACTCCAGGCAGACCTCCCTGAATTCAGCAATGGAAGAGGGTGCCTTGTTCTCAGCCAGAGGAAGAGTGTCCGCTCAGTCCGCTGCTTCTCTGCCCACCGAGTTTCCATTTTTCGTGTCGGCGAAGGTGGGGTAGATACCTCAGGCTACCTCTGACCCCAGGTCTGCTTCAGACGGCTGCCCTTGCGATCCAGCGGTCAAGCGATGAGTCCGGGGTTTCAAACGTCAGTCGTGGGACATGCTAAGATGGAGGGCGACTCCAGTCTCACAAGCATAAGTGGACAAGCTTACCCTTCATCTAAAGCAGGGGTCTCCAACCTTGACAGCTTTAAGCCTGGCGGACTTCAACTCCCAGAATTCCCCAGCCAGCAAAGCAAAGCTGGCTGGGGAATTCTGGGAGTTGAAGTCCGCCAGGCTTAAAGTTGTCAAGGTTGGAGACCCCTGATCTACAGGAGAGGTTTTATTTGCGGAAGAGAGCTCTAAAAAGTAAAGCAAGTCAGTGTGCAGAGGCAGAATCCTCCCAAAAGTAGCCGAGATAAAACCAGCCAAATGCTTCCCCAGATGGGGCTAAACACCAGTGGTCTCAGCCGAAGGGGAAACTGGTGAAGTTCAGCAACCGCTGACATTTTCAGACAAAAAAAAAAAGGGTGTGTGTGTGTTTTGAGCCTTGTCTTGGTCCAGAAAAGCACGGACTGTCCTGTGCATCCATCCTACTGCCCTCCTCTTAGCCTCAGTTGCCCCGTCTGTAAAATGGGGCTCGTTGTGATGTGGTCTGCTGGCAGCTCAGTGGAAAACAAATAGCTTTTCCTTCCTCTCTCTCTCTCTCAAGCTCAGGAAACAAAGTGGTTTTTACTGATGGGAACACACAACCATATAAGACTCGGAGAGGTTTTAAAGATTCGATTCGCCTCCAGGAAAAAGCCCCTTGGAAGACCGAGGGGGCCTGGTGGGGGGGGAAGATTTTGACAGGGTGGGGGGTGCCCAGCACCAGCTAACAAGCTTCCTCTGTTTCAGCCACCTGACATGCCGAAACCTCAGGCCACCAGCTGGAGTGAAAATGTCACTGCTCATTTAGAAATGGATTTGAGCCCCGTTCTTGGCTAAGAGACGGCTTTGCAGGACGTTATTCCCTCTTTTTAAAAATAAAAATAAAAACTGGATTTGGCGCCTGGTGACTCTCCATTCCCTTTGCTGAAAAGGATGAAGTTTGTCCAACTTCGAACTGGACACGGGTGCAACAGACGGCAAACAACCCACAGCCGGCCCGGCTGGGAAGTGCAGCTCAGAGGGCTCCCTTTGCCCCCTTCTCAAATTGCACACGGATGATAAGTCATGCCGATGAGAATAAGGACAGAGCACAGGATGATTTAAATCGCCAGGCTCTACGGCATTCAGTATTTCTCGACCTGGCTGGCTGGGGAATTCTGGGAGCTGACGTCCGTGCTGCTTAAAGTCGCCAAGGCTGAGGAACAATGCTCTGAGGCATTAGGGAGCAAAGATGCAGGAGGCAAAAGCTCAGGGAGAAAGCTCTCTGTACATGTTCAGAGGCCTTTGCAAGGTAGAAGCCATTTAAAACTCAATGATGTTTGGAAAAACGTTGCCCGATCCCAGGCTTGTCCCTTAAACAGCTTCAAAACCGAAAGGACTTTAGGGACCATACTGGCCCGGACCCCCTCCCCATCCAGGCAGTCCATTAGTACAAGAAGCAAGTTTATGTCATTCCTGCTGGCTGGGAATTCTGGGTTCTGTGCTCCCAGCATCCCTGCCACGTAGGAATGCGGTGTGGTGGGATGGGATGGTCACTGCTGCCTTTCGCTCCTACATCTCATGCCCACAAACTGGTGCCTCCTTCACCCTCTCACCAAACTCACTTCCTCCATAGGATGTCCCTCATGGGTGGGGGGGAGGGGGAAGAGGGACCCCGGGGTGGGGACAGTCACGGTCCCATCTAAACATCTCCAGGGAGGCCATCTGGAAGCTTCAACCACTCTCGCTGGACACAAAACAGACCCCATCTCTTGTTCTCCTCCTCCTGGCAGACACCCCCAAACCTTCCCCATTGCCACACCCCAGTCGAGAAGCAGCTCTCCCCACGAAAGGTTTCTTCCTTCTGGCCCCATAGAAGAGGGGAACACGGCTCTCTGCCCCGCCCTGCCCTGGTCGCTCTGACCCAAAGCCCGGCTTGTTCAGGGTGGCCCAGCCATCCCCCCCCCAACCCTGCAGGGCCTCTTTTCCTCCCAGAGACGGGGAGGGCTGCAGGAAAGGGCCCCACGAGGGCTGAGGAACCCTCTCCGAAGCAGCAGGGGTGCTCAGAATTAGCCCGGAGCAAAGCACCCCGTAATTATTTCAAAGCATTTGGGGCTCCGAAGAGGTTCCGAGAGCAAAGCAGCTCACGCTTTCTTCTCCCAAGGCAGCCCCACCAAAGTCCATGTGCTTTGCTTCCAGGGTTCCACAGGAGGAGACCGAGCAGCTGGTGGAGGTTCAGAGAGTGGGTCTCTCTCCAAGGGTCCAGAGGCAGCCTGGCTCACCTGCCGGGCTTCTGCTCCCAGATCCCAGACTTTGCTGGAGTGGCCGGATTCCAGCTGGCCCTCCTGCACCTTGCAGCCCTTCAGAGTTCGGACCTGGGCTTCTCTGCGCATAAAACACCGCACCCTCTTTCTCCTGGCACCAGCGTGGCCCGGATGTGCCCAGCACAAAGGAACCTGAACCGGTCGGTCAGCAGGAGCACATGCCCAACTTTGCCTGGCCCGAGTGCGCCACGTCCACTGGAGAGCCGGTGGTGCCGACGGCAGGAGTGGCCAGCCGGTGCGTCCGAAAGCAGGACAGGGGTGGCTTTTTCACAGGGGAGGGAGGCTGAACATCGTTTCCCTCCACGCACAGGTCCTTTCAAAGCAGGCCAGCCCACGTCTCTCCCGGGGAGTCGCGTTTTGTGCCACCCACACCCCAGGCAGCCTTACCTGAGGAGCAGCGAAGCGCTCTCTGCGATGCCGCCACAGGAATTTCCCCCCAGACGGTCTGCAAGAGCCGGAACGGAGCTCCTCCTGAGCTCCACCGCCAAAGCTGCTTGTCGGAGGAACAAAAGAGCCCTAAAAGAAAGGACCAGGACGCACGCGGGTCTCTCTGCTGTATTTCCAGCCAGTGATGAGGCTGCCCGGCCAAGGAGTGACGGAGGGAAGGAAGGAGGGAGGGAGGGAGCACGCAGATATGCGTGCTTGTCTCTGTCGCTCAACGCCTGCCTTTCGGAGGTGCAGCTGTGGAGTGAAGCTCTCCCCTCCCTCGGTTGGCATGCGCAAGGCTGCTGGCCCGATGATCAATACCACCATGGCTTTGTCCAAGAACTGCTGGACTGGGAGGGAAGGGAAACTGGAATGCAACAGCCCAAGGCTTGGGGCAAAGGGGGAGGGGGGGAAGGGAAGGGAAGGGAAGAGCCAGAGACTGACCTCAATCCAACCGTGTTTGCAGTGACATTAGTGGAGCGGGAATGTGTCCTGGGAAGCCCGAGGGTCCTGCATGCCCTGAGCTGGTTTGATGTACGACATTCCACGAGGCGGCTTCCCGCTTCCGAAGGAGCAGGTTGGCGGGGCCCATATAGAGGAAACGTCAGGCACAGCACATGGGGGTGCAGGCAGGCAGCATGCTTCACACGTCAGAACTGCAATGCCCTGCGCTCGTTTTCCACAAGGGGCCTGGCAGCCTGCAACCTCCGTTTGGTCTTCAGACCCGCCAGGAAATCCTCTCCTGCTCCCTCCGGCCTCAACCGAGAGGTCCAGCATGAAGCGGATCTCGGGCTGACCTGCCCTGGATCCTCCTTGCAAGCAGAGAGGAGGCGAGGGTCGATGATCCTCCTTCCCCACTCCCCAGCATAGGCAGAGGGAAGACTGAGACCAGGCCTTGGCAGAAAGGGCCAAAGCCAACTTTTCACTGGGCACCGTTGCAGGCTCACAAAATGAGCAAACCTGGAAAGCAGATCTGGGCTAGGCCGGCCAGGGACCCCAAGTAGGAAGGGAAAGAGATCTGAGAGAAAAAGCTCAGCTCTGCCCCAGCTTGGAGCATC